ATACTGCTTTTCCTTCCTGCTTGATTTTACCTGGGCCCTACACAGAGAGAAAGAAGAAAATATTCCAGGTACCATAGTTATTCTTCTTCTGTCTTTATAGGTCAGTAATTTAAAAGAAATAATGTAAACTCTATTTTGAAAAATCAAATCAGTATCTTATATTATTGCCCTACTGAAAAAAACAACCCCAAAACATTTTAGTTCTTTTTTCCAGTTCCTTCTTCAGAAAAATAATAGTTAATAAAAGAGTCAGCCTCCGACAGCTAAAACAGGAGCTTCAGAAATCTTTACAAGAAATTTAAAAAGTATAGCCATTTTGCTTCACTTTGCGTTATGGTCATACCATTGCAAAAAGGTAGCTTACTATGTATGTTGTGACTTTTTTTGCTATTTAAGATATTAAAGATTTCCTATTTGTTCTTTAAAAGCAAGATTTAGATCAATTCAGAAATTCTACATGAATGTAATAGTTAGTGGTTGCATCCGGAAACTGTTTTTGGGTGTTCATTCAAGACAGGATAGGCAGTTTGGATTCTACACAAACCATTCACCCTTCTCTGGGATTCCAGTCAGTTGTTTTAAACATAAGCTAAATAGTTTCGAAGGCTACTTTCTGTCCAGGAAAGTAGGTCAAGTCTGCTTTATTTGAAAAGTTTGCTGAGACTTAGCTCAATAACAAGGGGTATGAAATGTAAAGAGTTACAAGTGTGTGTTGTTTGTACACACAAAACTAGATCTCTTGGCACCATACTCCATGTATTTAAGGTAACAAGTAATGTGGTGGAGGAAAGGAAGGTTATTATCCTGAAGCAGTGTGCTACGTCTCCTCCTCTGTTGACTAACTTATGAAAAAGGTAAGAATATATTACCTTACTTCTTCATTCTTGAAGGATAACCAATAACACATTATGGATTTCCCAGGCAGGAAACATTTATTGACATTATTGGAATCTATTAGCTGGGTTTTTTTTTTTTGTCCAGTAAAGTACAAATTGTAAATTTGGAAGATGCAGTCTTCCAAACTGAAGACCTACATGAACGTTCACCTCCATGAACGTTGCACGTAGGTGAGAGGAACGTCATCTATTTGAGGGAAGAGGAGATTTCTCTGAGTGTTGAAATTATTGGGGATTTTAGTTTTTGTGCCAAAGAGAATCAAAACCTGGTAAAATGTCCCAATAACTTTCTGAAGCATCATCTGAAATCTTTTCTCCTATATGTAGACACTTGCCATTAGTCAAAACGCAATTAATACTTACAAAAAGTTTTTCTCAATTTTGTGAAAATAGATTCATTTTGTAAGCTTGAGAAAAGTGTTAAGCTATTAGTGCCTCCCTAATCAAATACATTATGACTTCATGTCCAGAAAAATTTCCTATTTATAACCTGGTGCCTGCAGTCTATAGATGGTTAAAAATCCTTTAGGGTTTAGTGGTCGAGCAAGCCTGGGATGTTTCTTATTTTTAAAATGGGTCAATTTAAACTGATTTTAAGCCATTCAGAGCTATTGGACAGATCTTACTTTAGAAGTCTTGACCTGTTTCTACTGAAATGTCTGTGAGGTGAGATGAATCATGGAAATAGAAGTAATCACAAAAAAGAGTCAGACTGAAAGCGTCTGACCGTAACCTGAACCGGGGAAGTGCTCAGGCCAGCTTTTTCCTAAAGATAGTATCAACTTGATGCATTCTTTGAGTATCCCTGTTTCACTAGCATTTTTGTATGTGTCAGATAAAAATCAAACAACTCGCTTATTGTCCATTGTGACAGTGAAGGCCTTTGCAGACTAAGAGGATTATTTTAAAAATAAAGATTTTTACTCTTAATTTCATGCAAGGAAGAAGAACGGAAAAGAGAACAAGAAGAACAGAAGAAAAAAGAGAACGAGATGGTTTTTAGAGCTTGGTTACAGAAGAAGAAAGAACAAGTGCAAGAAGAAAAGCGAATTCAGCGTGCAAAGGAGCTAGAAGACTTGAACAGCAAAGTAAGATCTCTCACGTGTAGAAGTGCAATTTATAGTTCTCTGGTTAAATAGAAAAACAAAATTCTTAGCCCAGGTGCTTAGATAAGCATATGAAAATTCACACTGATGAGAAATATTTTTTGTTACGTTGTTTCCATTGAAGAGCTAGATTGACTTTCATGTTCAGGGGTTGTTCTGCCTGTCAGGGTGGCTTGTGTCATACAAACTACATACATGAATTTAGTAACCATAGCATCACTTACAGAAGACTTAGTGATGCTGTCTTTCAGTAGGAGAATAACTTCATTGGGCCCTGGAGTGAACAATGAGCAGAAAAACCCTTTGAAGTGTATTCCCTACCATCAGAGCTTGTTGGCAAGCAAGTTAACGCACGTGATGACCAAAAACTTAAGATTCAGATGCTCTATTCTGAAGTTCCTCTGTCTTGCAGCAATGGGATCGAAAAACTAAGTTTAGTATTTTTTCAAAATACTGCTTTCACATATATATTCCATGATAGATTAGCTTATGCTGTAGTTTGCTTATAAAGCACGTTTCCCAATTGTGGATGCAAGATGTCAGGGAAGTTCAAAAAATTATTAATATAAAGGTCACTTAATGATAAGTCTTATGTGTGCATGTCTTTTATTTAAATAGGAGAGGAGCAGGAATCCAGAAGCAGCCTTCAAGTTATGGCTTAAAAAAAAGCACCAAGAACGCATAAGGGAAAAACAGATAGAAATTTTGAGACGCCAGACAGAGGGCATTACCTTTTTTCCAAGAACAGAGGAATGTAACAGAGCCTTTAAAGAGTGAGTAGGCTCACTTTTCTTATTTTCTAGGAAAACAGACTACTTGAATATTGTGTAGTCTATCAACTTAGACTCATAATCAAGTTACTTTGAGTGTAGTCGTTTTACAGTGCATCATTACTGCTGAAGTCCTTATTAACTCCTTCATGAGTATATCATCATAAGCTTATACCCTAGCAAAAGTATATCAATTCCCTGGTGTTGTTTATCCACTGCTGTGAAATTACTTGTCAAGGCTTGAGCTGACCTAATGGATTGCTTGTGCTGAAAAAGGGAGCTCCTTCTCTATCCCTTTTTGCCTGTTCTGGAGCAGAGTTGCACTGGTTCAATTCACTGAACAGGCAGAAAACTAACCTGACAATGTATTTTTTTTTTCTTGAGTCAGTGGGTTGAATCAGCTCAACGAAAGTGGGGAGGGAAAGGTGGGTGCAGAACCAGGAGTATTGGGAAAGAAAAGCAGGGCCTCCCATGTTTGGGAGTAGCAGGCTCTTAGGCTGGCTCAGCCGTAACACATAAACTGTATCCTGCACCATCCCGCACCTGCAAGGTGACTCTAGTCATCTGGTTGGATGGTTAGTTAAATTGGGACAAGGGTCCTCTGAATGGGTGAGATAAAATTTTAGTCATTGTCAGTATTTCTAATCCTGTTTTTTCCCTCCACAGATGGCTAAAAAGAAAGAGAGAAGAAAAACGAGCAGAAGAGCTAGCAGCTAAAGAGCGAGTAAGGCAGCTTAGGTTAGAAGCCAGAAGAGCAAAACAGTTGCAGAATATCCACTGCATTAGTTCAGAACCTAAATCCTTTCGCTTCACAGACCATTACAGCTGAAGGTTTGATGTAGCCACAGACTTCTTGGTGGCAGCTCTTTTACTTCTTATGGCTTGAGCTTTTGCTCTTTATAGCTACTGACCTTTTGTGGTGTTTTAAAGCTTTTAAGCAAGTTTAACAATTCTCTTCAATGACAATGAATAAACACTACCTATTTATTTGTATTCTCTGTTGAAAAGCCTGCTTTTATGTATAACTCAGGGATACTCTTGGTTTGACCAAATCTAAATGAGAGTGAGATCTATATGCAAGGGTGGCCCATATGAATTCCTGTCTTTAAAAAGCACTTTATACCAAACTCCACCATGAATTCCTGGATGCAGGCTCTTATGTAAAGTGCTGAATTCTTGCTGGATTAATATTGCTGTTTGCTGCTGCTTGTGAAAACTGCACACCACTTCCTGTGTTTGGAAAATGCTGTTTCCTGAGACTTTGTGATACCCTTTTCTATTGATCTGTAGACTAGCTGTTACTTTGTTGCTCAACCAGTGGAATATTTTGGAGAAAGGGGGTCAAAGGAGGCTGTCAAGTACATGAATTTCCAACAGCTTTTGAAACATAGTTCTGTGAGCCAGACTGACACATTCCTATTCAGTAGTTTCCTACTCTCTGAAATTAAAAGATGGTATTGTGTGAATCAGAACCCTTACGAGTAATCCAGCTTCCTTGATACTTGTATACATTTTTATGTTTGCTCAATCATTTTAATAACTACATCGCTTTACTCAACTAAATTGTGAACTCTGACCAGAGAACAGGCTGAGATCACTAACAGAATAATAAAGTTATTGCAAGATGAGGAGCATTCTGTCCAGCTGTGTCTCTGTCCCCAACCTATTTCCTTACAGCTCAGTGTGAGCTGACATTGTTTTTATGATAATTACAGGGAAAAGGCCTTGAACCCTATCCGGGATGTAAACAGTCTTTAGCTCTGAACGTGAAATGACGACAGACAGAACTATAGGGGGGACAACACAAGTTTCCCATTTGTATTTTTCTCCTACCATGCTGAAGATGTGTATAGACATGTTCCAGAGGGTACTGCTGTTTGACCTTTTACCAACACAGGTAGAAGGGCACGAATGCATCGAATTAACAGCAAGTTAGGCTAGTTATGAGAAACAGGAATTACATCTACTGGTTAAGTGCCTTCCCCCTGTACTTTCCCCTGACAGCAAGGGCTGAATTACTTCTTTTGTCTAGCAAGCGCTTGCTATGGGAAATAGTTGCAAAGGGTCATAGCATCTCCTTAACTGTAGCAAGTGAGAAAAGAAAGTGCTTCTCAATTCACTACCTCAGACCAGTACAGTGGCCGTTGTCACAGTTCTTATATCATACTGTTCCTTTAAGCTGCAGAGAACACAGAGTCAAAAACACCCCACTTGTTTCAAGTCCAAAATGGTAACTTGAACATATGCAAAGAAAGTTTATTGTAAAGTTTTCCTCATACAAGCCAAAGCATGGCCCCGAAGAGCAAGAACGTGTAACTTACATACTCTGATCATGGTATGAGATTTAAAGAAAAATTGTTTAACAGTAACTAACTGTTTCAGAAACCCTTTCCCCGTACTAGACAGCTACCAGCTGCATATGATAAACCTAGCAGTGAAAATTTGAGGACAAAATTAAAATATGTATTTGCAGTGTCCTAACTTTCCTCTCTTTATTTATCACTTTACAATTTAAAAATAGACTTATTTGGATTTAGCAGACTCTCTGCTGGTATATCGCCTTGAACCTGCATCATCAAGATAATAAAGCCAGATGAGTAAAGAAAAATACATATTTGTTTCACTACCTGTGCAAACTTAGTGCTTCATCTTCAGCCCTCCATAGCATCCGGGAAGACACTGAGCAGGGGCTGAGCTCTAAAGCTAGTTTAGGTTTCAACACTGTAAACTAAAGGAGGTGTAACAGTCTTTGCTGAGGATGAGCTATGCCGCAGCTTGACTCTAGAAGCCAAAAATACACGGAAAAGCCCTTGTTCTAGCTTTACCCAAACACAAGAATAATCTCAACCCACTGTCTTCAAGAATCCATTTAAAACCAGTTTCTATTCATATATTATAGCTAGAATTCATTCCAGCCCTCTCTTCTCCTTGTCAGGAGGACTGCAACACTGACTATGCTTTCAGTTTCAGAACTTACAGCTATGAAAACTCATTGCACACATTCCTTTTTTTATTAATAAATTTAAAAGGCTGAATGTAGAACTGAAGACAGCCTATCACCTTAGAAAAGATTAAAAAAATGCAGCTGACTATATTCCATTGTCTTTTGAAAATTTTTTAAAAAATATAACCTCTTAGCACTTCATTTACTTTGGTATAGTTATGTTTTTATCTCTCTCTGAATAGAATTTCATTAAGATATCCTAATACAATTATAAATCTTAAATAGTCAAGGGTATCTCTATGCTCTACAAATTGGACTGGCATAACATTTCTGGTCTTGCATTTGTAGCTTTCCAGCCTTTAAAGTAGAAGTATCCCATAGGCCAGGGAAGTCCTGTTGGCCCCTAACCTCAAGAGGTAGAAAAACAGCGACTGTATCATTTCCAATACTAAACCCACCCTTTATGGAAAGAAATAGGAAAAAGGGAAGCCTACTGAACATCAGTTAGTGTAATTCTTCAGAAAGAGTGCATGTGCAGCTGCATTAGCTGTGTTTCTAAAGGGCTATAAGCTCTCCTTGACAGTGATTGCAGCAATTGAAAGTTACATCTTCATATCTTGTATATGGGTGAAACCTTCCAATGCTCTTCTTTGTGGAAAGAAAGGAAGAGGGAGAAGTCTCAGAAAAAGAAACTTCGGTTGATGTTTCCGTACATGCAACTGGATCCAGTACGCGAAGCACCTATGGACGGAAGAATTCATAATGAAAATATATCCATTAAGTCTAATGAAATTCACCTTTTTGTAACAGCTATGAAGGTATGATTTTTACTGAGAATAAAAAATTTTTTTTAAGCAGAGTTGAACTTAACGGGCAAAAACAACATATTATACATATTATATGTTGTTATATAATGTCATAACTAGGCACTGTGCACCTTCTGCTGCTCAACTATCATTCCACTGCTTCCAGACTAAACCATTAGTTTAGTTTGCTATTTAAACATCAAGTTTCATGCAGTGAAACCTCATCCTGAAAGATAATCATACAGCTTCTCCGTCTCTTTCCACTCATTGTCAATAAAACTGTTTTGGGGGGCAATACAAACTACTTCTGAAGTGTTACGGCTTATTCCCACCCGAACTAGGTTTCTCCTCCCATTCAACTTTTAAACTCAACTAAGTATTTTCTAGCTAGCTTCCTCCTGACACACTAACTCTAAACAAATTTTGACCCAGTCATTTGTAGTGCTAGCAACAGAGAAGGCAACAGCAAGCGTCCTTTATGTTCTTCTGCTTATCGTTCCAGGTTTGTTTTCTTAAAGGGCAAGCAGACAGCTCTATTCAGCATGCTGCCTCTGCATATAGCTTCTAAACAGGCAAATATATTTAAGTAGCTGACACAACGCATGCCTGTCCTTCAGAAAACAGGCGCCTGTGCTGTGCTGAGAGATTGAGTTGTATGAAGGGTTTTTTTACCATTTCAGCCATTTTCTCAGCAGGGGTACTGCAAAACTCCACAGCTGTTGAAGTCTTTTTTGGACTGTTAGTGCCAACGTTTCCAAGAAGATGTGAGCTTACAGCTTTGGCTAGCTTACAATTCACAGCTGCTAGTTCCGTTGTAGTGTGAGGCTGGGCACTAGGATAGTACGTCTGCTGTCTCCCCCACTGAAGAGAAACCATCAGCTCTTCCAGCAGTCTGTGCAGAAAGGAAGACAAGCACTATTAGTGATTTTTGTATTCCACAATATCAGCACACAGAGCACACTTCAAAGAAATTGTCTCTTCCCAAAACTTAATGCACTAGTCAAATATTGACCAAAAAAGTAAGTTTAAGTATTTAAAGACAAGGAGGCAAAGAGGCTGTTCGGCAAGGCAAGGCCTCATCAGCACAGATTTTTAATACTGGTGAAAGACAGAAACCTGTTTGACATCCGGCAGGATGAGCGTTAAAAAGTCAACGTAGGTGGAAGAATATCTATATCTTGGAAGGAGATAGAGAAAACTTTATGAAATAGAGTCAGCAGACTTTCTATAAAATAGAAAGCTCAAGAAGGCTATAAGGAATGTCAATTCCATAGTATGTGGCCCTTAAGAATTCCCATCTCCAGGTAAAGACCATGAAAAAATTAAATCTTCTTTGGCTCCTTCAGCTCTGAGACTGAAAAGTGATTGCACTATCAGCCAGCATAACTGATTTTGTTAAATATGCCAGGAATAGGGGGACATAGTTTACTCTAAATTTCTGTCTTTTTGGGTTCTTCTCTGGCCTAAAGTTTGCACGGAAGCAGTCTGGTTTAGAAAACATTTCATACTTCTGTGTATCAATCATTTCTTGACGGAACTGATCGCGTTCATTCAACAAGTCCTGAATTGCGCTCTGAGCATCCCTGGTTTGACGCTGCAGAATTGCTCTGCTGTTGGTTAGCTCATCAGCCATAACCCTGCAAAAGAAGTCTCCAATCAGTAGTTTAAATAATAAGTAGTTAAAATAAGCACTTTAAAAGTCAGCTTCATCCTACAAGACAGTAATTTGTCAGCTCAAACTAAGGGTTAAACTAAGCTGCTGTCTGTTCCCACCCCCAAGCAAGGTGCGAATCAGCCTACTTATAAAAGACATATATTAAGAGCAATTTCTGTTCAACTACAGTGAACATGAAGTGACCATACTAGCAATGTTATGTTATGTTTTGATTTGCTCAGTTTAAACAATTTTATATCACTTTATACAAATGCAGTAACAGATATTTTAAAATACATTGCATAAGTGAAGATGCTGAACAAGCATCCCGACAGATGAAGCTAAATACATTTTGTTTTACTGACATGGCTCCCACTAGTATGCTGTAATCACAGCTTCTCATATTCATGTCTAGAGACGGAAGCTATGGCTAGACACTGCAGTTCAGTTCTCAGGCTACAGCAAGATGGTATATGCTCTAGATACAAGCATTTAAGAGCTACAAATGAGAAAACTGCCGTCATATTTTGCTATGCCATCAAGAGATTTGGCACTTATCCCTCAAGCAGGTATTTCAGTACCTGAGATGCTGTAAAAACCAAAAGCAGACTGTCATTTAAAAGCTACCAGTAAGAAACCTAAGATCTAAACGAACCAGAAAGTTACAAGATCAAAGGATGTTACTTCAAGCACGTCTCCACACTGGCACAAAATGTTTCTAGAAGGGACTCACATCCCCTTCTCTCTACTATTAATGCTAAAGAAACAAGTTAAATTAGGATAATAACATTTGCCTCGCTAAGACTATCACAAATAATTACCATTCATTCAATATGCTAAAACTGTTTAAGACCAGCAACTTAAAGGGAGAAGACCGTTCTATTACTATTTCCTTGAAACAGTAAGGCTTTTTCTTAGTACGCACTAAGCATCACTAATTAAAATTTAGGCAGTTATATCTGAGCACAGGAGAAGATTAAAAAACCTAGGACACTATTTTCAGTGTCATAAGTCACTCTCTGCATAAGTCAATTACACTTTGGAGGTTAAAAGTCTTCATTCATTGTCAAATAAGATTTTGACATTGAGACCAACTTAAGATTTGCTCGTAACTCTGGCTGCCCATTATTTTATGGTTACAGAAGTAACAGTAGGGTTCTTAAAAGTAACAGTCAATTAAACTTTAATGAAGAGGTCCACCTCCTGTTCCGTAACGAGCTGCCCTTCCCAGTAGAACCCTAAACCACTGTAAGCAGAGTTATTAACCAACTCAAGTTCAAGATGACTTGTATGACACTGGGGGGGGGGGGAGGGGCAGAAATCAAGCTATTTATCCTTAAGATGAGCCAAGATAATTGTCCTGGAAGATTTTTTAAACCCTAAAGTGGACACAGTTCTATCAGAAATAAAAAGCTCTCTTCCTACGTTGAAGAGAGCTGGAGTTAAGATTTTAGGAGTGTTTGGATCCCCTGCATTACCTTCTAAAAGTTGAATTACACAAATTTATAAGGAGATTACTCTCTTCATATCGTCTCCATAGATTCACACTTCAGAGTAGGTGTCGGTATAGTTGTTGTGGCGGTCCTCTGTGTATATGTGCACACCCACAGACATTGCAATGGGTGTATGTAATACAAGACTAAAGCAGAATGCTGTTATAACAGTTCTGTAAGAGAGAATACCTGCTTGCTAGGAATTTGCTTCGCCACACATCACACTGTATAGACATCCGCTCTAATTGTTCAGACAATTGAGACATATTCCGGCCCAAGGCCTCATTTTCTAAGATTAGCTGATTTTTCTCACGAGCCATCCGTTCAAAGTGATACTGCAGATCATCCCCAACAGAAGCAACAAGTAATTTCTTCAGCTCCCGATTCACCTAGAATTAGACCAGACTATCTTATAGTGACTTAATTATCAGCACAGTACCAAAAAAAAAAAAAAGAAAACCCTTCTGACTTAATTATCAGCACAGTACCAAAAAAAAAAAAACCCTTCTATCTTATGAGGGCACTGCAAATTATTGAAAATATGTAACCATAAGTTGCCTTTTTCTTTCCAGAGTGGGACACATCTTACAGTGTTAAGTGTGTGTCTTCAGCCTTGTGACCCACTGCAGTGAGCATAAACACACTTAAGACATGTTCAACATATCCTTGTTCAAATTATAGCAGTGGCCAAATAGGATGAACAAAAGCTTGCTCTAAGTAACAAGGGAAGTTTCTGTAGCGTTCAAGTCCTGAATCAGTAAGATAAAGGATTAAACAAGACATCCACAGGTAATTTTAGGTAGAAATCACACATGCTATGGTATAACATCTTTCACTTTGCAGTTGGATTGAGGAGAAAAATCTTTTCTCATGAAAGGTACATTTCCCAGCAGCCCACTAATGGCTTTCTCCCCACTTTAAGCATTTGAAACTTTCATCTGCTGGCAGAGAGGAAACACTAGACTACTTAGATTGTAGTAGTTCTCTGTATTTGAGCTGGTAAGTTCAAAAGCGTAAGTATTTGTTACAAGGCACAGCAGTTCTGTCATAGCCGTCCTGCTTTTGCTTTCACAAGTTGCCTAGGTAAACCAGAGTTAGTTACTTCTGTGAAAGCACCTCCCCCTCCCAAAACTTTTCATTTCTTACCTCTGTCTGTACACGCAGCTGATTAGAGAGACCTTCTTTATCCTGTAACAACCTCTTCTCTGAATTCTTTAGCTTTTCTACTGCATTTTTAAGCTCTAGCAGTTCTTTCCTGGGATCTGCAGTTCCATCTGACTGATGGAACGCGTCTCCTTTATGTCCCACTGATCTAGCTACCCTAGCATTTTTAGTTGCAACAACATGGGTGATAGCTGCTTTGGGGACTAATATACGAACAGCTTCAATCTCCACTGATTTATCAGCATGTATTTTCCCAAGCTGCAAAACGCCGGGACTCAGGGAAGAGACTGTCTTTTTATGCGGGCTGTGGTGGACGTGATGGTTTGTAGTGTGGGCTTCAGCAATTACTTCCACTGATTCAGCTGTCTGTTCTGTTTCCATGCCATCTCCAGGTCCTCGGATGGGCGATGAGGCATAGTCAACTGAAATGTAGAAATAGCGGAGGAAAAGTTTACCATCTTTTATTTTGTTACGGTCTCATTGTAACTCATCCCTCAATTTCTGTACCTCAAAGTTAAACATTCTGATTTTACACAGCATATGTAAGACACTCTTTTGCAGCAGCAATCATCAAGCACAAGTCAGAAATCTAAACAGAAAATCATCTACTCAATCTCGTGTTGTTCATCAATACTGCTAATACAAGTCATTAATCTGAGTTGTATTAATCTTCATTTCACTCTGACATACAAGATCAAATAGATCTTGTAGACTATTTGTCTACATTGACAGGTAGATGCAGATATGAAAAAGAGCTAGTAAGGAGAACAATATTACTCAAAGACCAAAAGCAAACTTTGGGTTTTGGGAGCTAATAGAGTTAGAGCAGTCTCACTTCAAAAACAACATAATTAAACAAAAAGCAGCTACTAGCTAGATAGCTATGAACAACTTAAGGAGTTTAGCAGATGAACTAAACTGCTATAATGTGTCTTGGTAGTCCAGATGAAGATTTAAGAAAAACCAACCAAACATTTCCACTTCATTTCTAATCAATAGCCCCTAGTCTTCCCAAAAATGCCATTAATCTGAATTCCCAAATGTGCCTGATAAGTAAAGTGAGTTTCAGTAGATATTAAAATGGCTACTTTTTAAGCTAAATGAAACATTATCATAGTAATATATCTGTATTTATTATCATAACGCCAATTAGACAAGAAAGTTTCTTAGAACATAGCTAGACATGCTGTTTTCCCTTGCAATGTGGACAGTAATGTGAGTCTGTGTCCTCTATCCAAATAGTAATTTTTGAAAAATGCTGTAGTTGTGTGCTTACGTTGCTCTACTTTCAAGCTGCTGAAGGAGGACAGTTCTAAAGACTAGAGGAGGACTGATGGACAAGCGTACAGACCAATGACAGCACAAGTGACAAACTTTGTTTCCCATAAAAATCCAGATTGGAAATCCACATTCAAGTAACTGTTCCACCCAGGCAGCTCTTTTTCACTGCAATTATAAAGTTACATAACCATTCCCTAACAACTAAATATAAAAATAATTTTAAATGAATGAAGTCTAGCATAGCTCTGCTCTTTAGAATTTAAGTTAAAATACCTGTAATCTAGTCTGCCTAGATGTCATATGAGCCACTTACCTTTTGCTAGAGATGCCATTTTCTGTTTAGCTTAGTAGTCAGCTCTATTAACTACGTAAATCTGAGGAAGAAGGGAGAGGGGAGAAAAAGGTGTTTATAACAGTGACAGTTAATCCTGGATTACCCTCTTTGCTAATACCACCTCTAAACTCCAGTTTAGCAGCACGCTGACCTGTTCTTTACCTGAGAGACAAGGAGCACTATGTAATCTGGAAAAAACAAACAACCAAAAAACCTTTAATTTAAGAGTTAGAAAGAGAAGGTCTACAGGACTTTTGGCATTTGTTTCTTCTTTCACTAAGAGTTGGACTTCAACTCTTATCTCTTGTTCCTCCTCCAGTTCCAGTCTACCCTCTTCCACTGTGTTTTCCTAGTTTTGCCCCTTTTTCAAATTCGCAGCCAAACCAGGAGTCAGTGCCCTCCGTGGCAGCACATGCTTGATTTAAGCCAGCAGCAAAACTGTACTCTCAGAATGTCCCCAATCGCCATTTCCTCTCTTATCCACCCAGCTCCATTAACCCTTTCCTTCCTTATCCACCCAGCTCCATCCACTCCCAACCCTCCAGGCCACTTGTCCAATTTATAGGACCTGCCACTAAGTTAGTTTCTGAGCTTGCTGTATCCTCCCTCTTTTATTTTTTCACTTTAGTTCTCCCAGGTATTCAGGGGACCTCAGATACATCTCCCACAGCCCTCATCTCCTTTTATTATACTGTGGACTGAACAGGTTGAACTACAACTTCTTTGGCTTCCTTTGCTATGGGCCTTTCCCCTGAAAAGAAAACAGTAGACGAGAACACACCACTACCAGCTTTCTAGATCCACGACTCGTTTTACAACAATTAGGTTTATTTTATCTGATGACCAGAAGAAAAAAAAAAATTTCCCTCTCTGAGTTTACTCAAGGTACATATACAGGAACATCTTGCTCAGGAAAGTATCCTGATCTGCTTACCATCACCATTGCTCATTCATTTGGATAGATCTTAATTCTTCTGAGGAAAATGAGAGGATTAAAAAAACACAGCTGCTCAGAAAGAGGCAAGAATACTCAACAAAAGCCTGAAATTGAGCGTTTAGTCTTCACTGCTTCATTTGAGACCACCTGCCAATGAACCTATACTTTCATTGCTCATATTGTGATAACCATCCCTAGCTATTTAAGTTGAAAGTCTCAGTGCAAGTCTGTGCTCACATCCTGCTTTTACTATATTCTTACAGGCAAAATTACTTCACTATTTGTTGAACTGTTAGCCACCGGACTTCCCAGGAAGACATCCTCAGCAGATAAGAGAGCATGCCTTTACGTGCAAATTCTTAGCGACTTAAGAAGAGCCGCTTTAATGCTACGCTCTGCAGAAACCCCCACACGACAACCAATACAAAAAAGCCCTGTATTAACAAAGCGGAGTCACAACCCACGGACACCTCGGAAAACCACCACCAACCAACCGCCGGGCCTCCCGACCTCACAGCCGCTAACAGCTGCTCCCCGGGCACGCAGCGAGAGGAGGCGAGGCGTCGGGCAG